AACAAATATAGAGGAATCTTAAAATATATGCATGTTTAAAGCGGGGCGTCGTCACCTGCGCATGCGTCAGATGGCCATAGCATGTCATTGTTTACAAACAAGCGTCTACCCATGAGCCTTTGCGTTTTTGGTGTGTGTTGTTATCGTCGCTTGGGACTCAATTCCCGCGCGTGCACAGGTGACGACCCTCCCGCTTTAAATAAACCACATGTACGCTTCATAACTCCCATCATTTTCTAAGGCTTTTCAAATAAAGCCATGTTTTGGAGCGTTTCAATCATCACGCTAGCTAGGATTGTGAGTTAATAACGGGGCTTAAATTACTAAGAAACACTGTCGCATATGGGAAACCAATTGGTGCGCTAGTTGCTGGAGATTGGAGCAGAAAACCACTGCAGGGATCTTGTCAAACAGCGCTGGCGACTCAGTCGTAGATTTTGGACCGTTAATATTTACCGTGGAGGGCAGTATACAAGTAATTGATCTGAAGGCATATACCAAAATGGGGATAAACCCTTCTATCACAAAGTAAAAAAGGACAACATTATGGTGAACCGGAAGTTCTTTAAAACTAGAACTCTACCAAATGTGATACACTTAGGAAGTACACTTAGAATGTCCACACAAATAACCACTGAGTCGTATAAACAAAAACATCCTGAAGAGCTCGAAATTGGGAGGCAGGTTGATGAAAGAAAAACTACTTCAAAACCGAGAAAACAAAGAAGACTACTTTTTAAGTAGAATTATAGACAGTATATTCTAGTAACTAATGTGAATATCGGCAGACCATAGAGGGCGCACTAATGTATAGGAGATTGAACATGACATATTTCGAGTACATCATGTCTGACACACTTAAAGCAAAATAGGTCTAAGACCGGAGTATGTATGTTAAATACGTAAATCATATCCAGTCAGTAGAGTGTTCTTATGTTGGTTATTAACAAATTGATTCGGGGACCGCTAGATGTTTCATCTAACGGCTTCTCATTTCTCAGTGCAAATTGATTGGATTGATTTTAGGTAGGGCTGTAAATATAATGCAAATTATCAACTCTACCGATTTGATATCAGTAAAGGGCACCAGTGCAGCGTGGGCTCGGGTTTTGTGTAAATGCTGCGTCCATATCGAACGCGACATTGCACAGCGACCTCTGTCCTGTAAAGTCGCAGGTGAGCAAATTAACGCGACCGATTAGGCGGTGCGCGGTATTGTGTACCAGTACGCCAAGAGGTTACAACAACAGTAAGAACCTGGAATGACGTCACGATGTGTTATGGACTCGTTCTTCTTTAATTGGAAAATTTGTGTTACATTTCATCGAACAGTTTCCGTTGATTAATCGTTTATCAGGCATGGCAACCGCATCGTAAATAGAACACTTGACTGAAACTGATCACAGTCATTGGTTGACATAATTGCGTAAACTGTTTTTTTTTTTTGCTCTCATTTCGAGTTGTTGTGAATGGAATATCCATGCGCATGCCCTTAAGTAGTAATATTTTAGAAAGTAGATTTATTTTAAGAAGTAATATTTTAGGGCAAGCAAATAACTATTTATCACTTTCTACTAGTACTTAAATCATATTACGGTGAGTAAATAGAGAAAGTATCAAGACAAAATAACAAACACAATAATTGAACACCGCATTCTTTGAAATATTGGGCCTTTTTCCCAAAGACGAGCACCCTGGTACTAAGTTTATTAGGGAAAATAGCCACGGCAATCAAGAACACATACTACTCATGGCGTCATTAAACAAAAGTCACGTGACCTTTTAATTGGTTCTGTGACGAGTACGGTAAAGCATTATCTGTGATGATTTCTAGTTGACTATCACAGCTGCGATCGCTTCCACTGCTCAATTATGAAACAGACAACTGATTCATTTTACATATGACGTCACGTTCTACCTCTAAGGGGCTTGCAATGTACGTAAAATAAAAAAAGAAATATAGCCAAGAGAACTCGGGCTCGAGGGATGAGTTTATAGGCAATCGGAGCGAGATAAAGAGATAAATGTGGTATTGTGGTGACATCACAATGCGCTGTTCAAAATTGCAAGATTGATCACAAAATTGTAAGATTAAGTGCACCTTTCTAGAAATACCATGGAAAGTCATAATTAATGCAGAAAGTAAGGAAAATGGAAGAGTCTATTTAAATGGTTTTGCGCAGTCGCAGATCGTGTGTACTTTTATGTGTTCGAGAATGTGCGCGGGTAGTATACTAGTATGTCGTAGCACGGTTATAGGTTAGTGCGCGCAATTTTATTCGCGCGCTGATTTTCTTTCGGAAATCCGCGAATTACGCGGACAATAAAACTGTGCAACAAATGTCAACTTCTACACTATGAGATCAAAGTGCCGACAGCATAGAAGGAGCAGCCTTAAATTACATTTAAAATTTCACTTGCTTTTCAGAATTTTGACTTCAGTTCAAACTTTGACGTTCATTTTCATTGAGATTTTGACTTGCACTAAGATGTTCCTATGCTCCCAAAGCCCAGACTGCAGTCATATCCATTAAATAATCTCGCGAATTGATTTTGCTGCAACTAAACGTAACGAACAGAGACTGTCCACATGGGTTCATGACGTTAAATTGAAAGGTCGTATAAATGCGCGGAATTGCGAAATATTACAAACTCAAACAAAATAATCCCCCATGAAAGGATTCATAAAAGCAATCTGCCATTATCATATGAATAAATCAGTTATCGATAACCTCATAATATATATATTTATATATCTCGCCTTTAAATAGCTGAAAAAGACACCCGGACAGGCCGAGCGTCCCTATGACGTCATTTATAAGAATATAAGTGCAATTCAAAGTCAAGGTGATACGCAAATACAAATTTCAATGCAAGTGAAATTTCGTGGTTTACGAGCATAATTGACACGTGGATTTTAAAATGTTATGCCATCATTGGTGTTATGGTTGCGCCATCTGCTAACAGCTTCGTTAGTAGCTATCGGTAGCGGGCGCAATAATCTGTGTGAAATCACGTTTGCTGGCCGTGGTGGAAGTATCCCCATCATGATGGCAGCGGGCCACTCAAGTAAGTATCTCCGTGGCATTGGGCCACTCAAGTAAGTATCTCCGTGGCATTGGGCCACTCAAGTAAGTATCTCCGTGGCATTGGGCCACTCAAGTAAGTATCTCTGTGGCATTGGGCCACTCAAGTAAGTATCTCTGTGGCATTGGGCCACTCAAGTAAGTATCCCAATAGCACCGGGCCACTCAAGTAAGTATCCCCATGACAGCGGGTCATTCAAGTATCCCCATGGCATTGGGACACTCAGGTAAGTATACCAGTAGCACCGGGCCACTCAAGTAAGTATCCCCATGGCATTGGGCCACTCAAGTAAGTATACCAGTAGCACCGAGCCACTCTAGTAAGTATACTTTGTTTATCTTTGAAAAGGCGTTCATAATCATTATATATCTCCGAGACGTATGTATGCGAAAAGCGTGATTAGGATGAAACTGTAATTCCATGTCCCATGTAGGACTGGGACGATACATGGG